ATTAGTGATTGTATAATTGGCACGATTGATGAAATAAAATCCTATAAATATTTTATTACAAATTTATAAATTTTAATAAGATTGGAAAATTTTCCATAATATCCATTACGGTTATCTTTAAATTACGCATTTACTGACAATTGCGTTAAAAATTATTTATTACAAATGTGTCAACGAAATGTCATTTGTACATTGAAACGTAAAGAGATGAAAAATGTATTCTGTTCATAAATTATGATAAAATAAAATAGAAATAAAAAAAAAAATATATAAATAGAATTTATTTAAAAACTCATAAATAGAGATTAGAATAAATTAGAAGAAACATTTTTATATTAATTTGTATGGCCAAAACATTGTATTATTTTATTTTTCAAAATATTTATGCGATTGTGCGTATTACACATATATTTTATCGATTTAAATAATTTTGCATTAAGAAGTAATTAATTATTTGAAGTGTTAAGATTTTTTCAATAAAGTTTCACCATCGATTTTTATATATCGAGTTATTTTTTCTTTACCTATTAAAATTATATTTAGAAAAGTATAAATCAAAGTTATTTTGTTTATGATCGTATAAGCGAACTTATCTGTCATTGTTCTTTTATTAATAATCATACGACTATTTATATACTGTCTTTAATTTACTTTAATGCTATGTTAGGTGAAAACAAAATTATACGCGTAAATATTACTCGTTTTTTTTTTTTTTTTTTTTTTTTTTAATTACTTTTTAATTACTTTTTAATTCTATTGATTTTTCAAATTTATGATATTTGTAGAAATAATCATGAAAGATAAAAATCGATTTAGTCTTTATTTACCATCGCACAATTAACATCACGATTACATAGTCCAAATAAATAATAATGGTTTATCAATTATTAATAATTGATGAATGCGGTACAAACTATATCGGTATAAATAGTAAAATTTCATATGATCAAATAAGAAATTTTGAAAAAACTTGAATCGTATTATATTCTCTTGACAAACATAAACATAAACGTAACTTTTCTTCGATAAGCAAAAGCATTGTAATATGATAAATGCATAACGAATAAAAAAAAATTAGCGATGAAATAACGAGAAATAGCCGCTATTGTACAGACAATTTTCCATCGTATATCTATAATTATTTTCTTCAATTCAATTAATTGGCGCTAATACAGATAATGACGATTAACTTTGAAAGGCGTCTATCACTTGCAGATCTTCGTAGCTTATGATTCTTTTTTTTTTTCTTTTTTTCTTTTTTCATTCATTATTATAGTTAATAATCTATTAAATTATTTCATTTTTGTTAAACTTGTAATCCTGAACTTTTCATTTGGATAAGTTAATGTTTTGAATCCGTTGATACAGGGAGAAGGTTCGAGAGACAAAGAAGCAAATATTGAATTTGTCCTCGATTAAGGACAATTACGAATTAATAGGTTATTATTTTAAAACAGTTCCGATGGTCACTAACGCCTATTATTGGCTTTCATTTAAAGAACATGTTTTAAAATTTAATGTCAAATAAACAATTGCTAGTGCGATATTAATGTTTCTGAACTCTTTACGAACTGACGACTGCGATTAAAAAACATTCTGATTACATCTAATGCCAAACATTCACCTACTCACATCCACCGTTTCACAATAATATTGCAACATATCTAAACATTAATATTATTTAGGTAAATATGACGGGCACACCATCCAGCAGAGATTAGTAACGATGTAATGCACCTTCGAAGGGGGCCTCACTCGCAGTAGCCTAAGAAACAAAAGTACAGAGAATTTTTGCTGCTGGCACGCGCCTTCCATCTATTCAATCACCTTCGGTTCAACTCGAAACGAAAACAAATTTCGAAGGGAAAGTCTGAGCAGCAAAACTCAGCAAGCGTAAAAAAGGGACAGCGCCACCGTAAGTAACGACCATAGTAATCCAGTCGTACCTCAATCTTAGCCAACTATATAGACGCGCTTCTCCCTCCCTAAAGTTGAAGAATCTCCCGCGCTCAAGGGCTCGTAGTCGCATGTAACTACCCCCTCCCGACACTTTGCCCCCGCAGGTGCGCCAAGATATTCCGAATGTCTCACCCTTTCGCGCGCTCCCTCTCTCTCTCTCTCTCTCTCTCTCTCTCTCTGTGTCTCACTCTCTCTCTCTCTCTGTGTGTCTCACTCTCTTGCTCTCCCTCTCCCTCGCCCTTAGTCTCGCCATCTCTCACTTCGGTGCGACGAGTGGAGAGAGTGGAGAAGAGCGAGGACCGCACAAGTTGACCGATAATAGCCGGCGGGGGAAGTAGGAAGCCCAGGGCGGGAGAAGGACGGTCAGTGTGCGTTGGCTCCTGCGTTGTACATATGCGCGTGCACAGTTCGGCTGCTGCAGTTGCGGGTAACAACCTCGTCGTCGTCGACGTCGTCGTCGTTGTGGTGGTGGTCGTCGTCGTCGTCGTCGTCGTCGTCGTCGTCGTCGTCGTCGTCGCCGCGCTAACGCGATAAACCTGGGGACCTCGACCGAAGGTCCATCCAAGGACGTATCCTTGAGCTAAAATGCAGAAGGCCTACCAAGGACTATATGGATGAGGAGGTACGGTAAGACGAGGAGAGCGCGGCTTCCTTCCTCCTTAGTCCCCTTCCCCCACCACCGCAACAGCCACCAACCATCACCACTACCACTACCACCACCACCACCAAAATAACCGACAGTCCCCGATGACGGTAAGGGCTTATGGGCATTACACAACTGTGTCATTGCGCCGTTTGCATTCAACCAACTATCGATCGCATTGTGCGGACGAGCTTAAACCGCGAATGATCGACAAGGGCAAGTCGCTATCGCTCGATCGACAGGGAAGACGACCCGTGTATCGCATTACATGCGACTCGGCTCACTAAGATGGCGTGTAATATAACCAAAGTAGAGGCAAGTAGCTGATGCCAGAGCTCTTTAAATGTCAAGTCCTCGTTTTGCGGCGCACTTGAAATCGCAAATTTACATTATCGCGTACTTTAGCGCGAGCCTTTCTTTAAATGATGGAAAACGGATGGGGCGCAAGGAAGAGAGAGAGGGAGAGAGAGAGAGAGAGAGAGAGAGAATTAGAGAAGAGTGGCATCCATCTTTGTCGCGCGATTCTCTCGCCACACGCGCACTTTTATTGTTTACACAGTTGAGATAAAGATATATAAATCCAGTTTAAAGTGAACGAATGGCGGCCATCTTCCGCATATATGACAGAAAATGAAAGAAATTATGTATATATATATATATATATATATATATATATATTTATTTATTTATTTGTTCATTTGTTTATTTATTTATTTCTATATATATATATATATATATATATATATATGTGCCTGTACGTACTAAATGTTAATATCTACGCGACTATAACTTATTTTTATTTTCGAGTGTGCACCACTTCTTTCATAAAGCTACCTTTGCATTTATCCTAAAATCCTTCATAGCACAAACATTGTACGAATTACGGAGATCGATTGCTTAATAATATTAAGATGTCACATTATCAAATACCAAGCTGTAAGTGTTACTTTATTGGCCCTAGGTTATTTAAGATCTGGCGGCAAATGTATATCTGTTTAAAAATAAAACGATTTAAATAATAATAATAATATAATATTTTAAAGCTACAATCATATGAAAGCGTTAATGTTAAAATCTTTCAATTCCATAATTGGTATCGTTTATATAACAATCATGTTGAAAACAGAAACGACATTGAGGCGTTAATAATCCGAAACGAAAGAGATCGAGTATTTTGATTGCAAAAGTTATTTTATAAATCATTAAAAAAATTGTCAACGTAATATCTAGATTATTAATTTTTTCTTACTTAATTGATCGTATAAATCTTATATCTTAAGGGTACTCGATGGATTATTAAAATAATTATTATTGAGTAAACAAACTGTAACGATATCGTAATTAGAAGTTTCCTAATGTTTAAAGGTATTAAATTATCTTATTTGTTCCAACACAAATACTTTATAAATCAAGAACACAATAAACTTTTTAATGCCTTCCGACATAACCTCGCTTTTATATTAAACTGATAATTCAGAATACAAACATCTATTCACTCATGATTAATTCAATTTTCAAATAGATTTTCTTTGCGATTGTTTACATTTCTTAAAAAGTAGAACTATCGGTAATTGACAAAAGCGATTAGTACCTTTAAATTTTGGGAAAAAAATTGAAGAACGTTTTTACGTTTAATAGATACTTTGTATTAATTTCAATATCTTTTTTTTTTTTTTTTTTTTTTTTTTTTTTTTTTTTCCAAATTAATCTAGATAGGTATCTTGGCAATCTATCCTATTCCTTTGATACCATAGATTTTCAATGGCTGCGCCTATAAGTTTACTTCTTGTAACGTTTGTTATAAAACAGATCTTAATACATACGTATAGACAAATTTCGGCATCTGCCTGAAGTGAGCCGACGACTTCCGTTTCCGCTTTTCCGACTTCTGCATAATCTGATTTTTTCCCCTTCCTCCTATTATCGATATATCTCGTCAGTAACGCAGTGCGTTTAGATCGTATTATTGCTTTCTCTGGTATTTTACATATTATATTATATTAGTTTTCAGAATAGAATATATTGTTAAGTATTTAAACAGTTTGAGATTAATGGCATTTAAAGAGCTAATTTTCTTATCGGCTTTTTTATGTAACGTGGGGACAAGATTCTAACATTGTTAGAGAGAGAGAAAGAGTGAAGTGTGTCGCAGATTATCGAAGTCGACTTCTGCAGTAACATACACGTGCATACACACAGGCATATTTCGTTCGCGCGCGCGCCCGCGCACTCACCTACACTCATGTAAATGCATCACGCATTTATAACTCCGTTTAATTATTCATTCGCTTCGTTATTCTTTTTATTTAAGTGCGACAGTGAAAACGGAGTAACACTAATGTACTTCGTCGATTGCATTGCATTAAGCACACATACGCATTATGTCGCGAATAAATAACCTTAAAATTCTTACATGTATTAGTGTCGCGCGCGCCGCCTCCTTTTTTCACGTATGAGTATGCCTAATTTCATTTTCTCGCAATTTCGACAATTGATAATTCGAGAGGTGTATTTATACGGAGTGCAGATGTATCGAGGCATACATCGGTAATCAGTGATTATTATTATGGAACCGAAAGAAAGTGAGCCGCGGTATGTGGTGCGCAAATAAGCTATAAACTCGGAAACGACGGCTTTTCACACACAACAGGTACCCACATACACAAACGTCGCATACGTAGCCATGATCGCAATGTCTCTCCTCCGTTCTGATTTCGCGAAAAACATAGCTTCTTCTTGAATGTAGTGGGAAAGATTTATAAGGCAATTGTGTAATTTATTATTGGACAGCTGATCGTAATTTGTTCACTTTAACTTTAAGATATTCTTTAATTTATTCACAGTACTTCAAAATAATTATATTGTAGGAAAACATTTTAGAAAGTTAAATGAAACAATTTGAATGATTTTTTAATGGAGATGTAATTGATTGTACCTAGTTTCAATACATTTATTTGCCTACGTATCGTTTATTAGTTTTTAAATATTATTTATCAAAGTACTGTGGAATTGGAATAATAGAGATACTCTAGATCATTCGTTGTTACTCTTCGTCAAAGTTTTGATTTTACTACTTTCAGTTGAGTGATTGCTATATTCCAAGGGAAAAAGTAATGTGAATAAAATCAAAGCAAGACCATATGTCCTTCAGAGTACAATTAACTCTGCCTCGGTGGAAGATGTCCGACTTATCTGGTAGGCTGTCGAAAAGTGCTCGTTTGACAAGAGCCTTTGCGATGGAGATTCGCGTTTATGTGATTTAATTAAGAACATACTCAAGCAATTAGTGATTATAAACTAGTGCTAATAGTGCAAATGGATAATCAGGGATGACTGACAATTGTTGGAACTCTGGTGGTGGTGAGTAAACGAATATATTATCTTATAATTATCATTCGACTAACAGAGAAAATTAAGAGTAATGGTACTCTGTTGTTGACATAATATTTCCTTTTATAGTAATTCTAATAAATAGTTTGCTTATAGAAGAAAAAAATTGAACTGTACATGACTTACATACTTGAAACAAAATTCTTTACAATAATTTTATAAGATAATAGATATTTTTATTGCAAATTTGTTGAAAAATTCAATTTTCAATAAACTTCAAAAGTTCGAATAAATGTAGGTTGGTGTAAAATTTTATTCTGTATTTACCAATTGAATTTGTGTCCAGAGTTGTTATTCTAATCGAAAGTAACTGATTAAAGAAAAAAATGTCAATTAAATACTAATATTTCAATAAAAATAATAAAGTATATAGTTTTAATGTGTATACTGTTATACATAATTCATATTAATACATCAAATGAAATGAAAAAAAAGTACTTATTTTATTAATTACTGTGAAAATTTTTTCAAATATGAATTAAGGCTTCAATTTTACAATTAATACCAATTTCTTAATTTTCTCAATATATTACTCATGTAATAATTCTAATAATTCTTTAAATAATTATAATAACCCAATGTCTATGAAATTATTATTGTTATTATTAAATGGAGTCTTTAATAACTAAGGAATAGTTTAATCTTTTATGTATTATCAATACTTGTTTTATGTAATTTTAAATTTATATATAATTATAATTGTATAACAGACACCAATTTTCAATGAATATTATCTTTATATATATTATTATCTAATTTGGTAAAAAAATTGATTGAGAAAGAAATATTAGAGATAGTAAAAATAAAATAAAAGGAAAAACATAAATTTTGACAAAACATGATTGAAAAGTATTTGTCTCTACGATCATAATCTGGATATAAATGTTTATGGTCCAGTTTATAAGTATAATTATATAATTAACCGTTTGTAAATTAATAGAAAATAAGATGTCGAACAAGATTCCACATACTATTGAGCTGATATCAGTTGGAATGATTTTTATATTGTAACAATAATTACCAAAAGTGTATATGAAATTTTAAGTAATATAAATAAGGGATTTGATAATACTTATGTATTCTCCCAGTGTAAGTAATTAAAATTAATTGTGTTGATAAACTTCAAATAAGGTAATACACTAAGTCAAACATAAGCTGAGAAAGTCCTTTTATACAATTATGTAAAGTTTTGTTTAAGGTTCTCCAAATAGTGCCAAAATATTATTGTTTATTCTATACTTAAATAATATTTATTAAATAATCACTTTGATTTTAATAATGTATAAATAAATATTTTAAAATAAATGTAAATTTCCATTGAAATTTAAATTAATAAACCTCTTTAAGCAACTTAAATTATATAAGAAATGATTTTCAAATTAAATAAAGTAAGTTATTTTTAAATAAATTAAAAATTCATTAAATGGCATAATTAAAATAAGTTATTAAAAAAGCTGTAGAATAAATAATACAATTTTAAATATATTATTGATAAAATTCCGTGCATGTTAAACATTTATTTTCTAACGAATTTCTATATATTTGTTGTCGCGAATTAATTATTTACATTAAAAATTAATACAATGATTTAATGCAATATTAATACATAATAATGTATGAGCACAAAACTTTCACGCTTTACAATATAATAATGCAAGTCGAATCCAAATTTTTTCTTTTGTAATAAGCTATTTCTAATAAATTAAAATTTTTTAAGACGAATGTTATTGTTGCTAATAATATATTTACGTCTTACAATCATTTTATGGTAGAATAGTAACGGAGATTTTAATTTATAGAATATATGAACAATATTGATTTCTTCAAGTAATTTATTTTATCGTGTAAAATTTTATATTTTTTGCAACTAAAGTAAATTTATTATTCGGCATATTTCTTTATTTCAAAATTAACGAAGTCAATTGAACTTTGCTTACCTTTTTTTTATTGTAAATGTACGAGCTATAATACAAAGACTTTTTAATGATTTTTTTCTAAAAAAAATAATCAATTATAGAATAATTTTACGGTAGGAAATTAAAAATATTATTGTGACGCCTTATATTTAATGACTTGTCGATTTTACGTATATGTTATATAAAATCTCATTTAAAAAATTAATGCATAATATCGCTACCGATGTTTTCAATTACAAATACATTTAAGATTTTATTTATTTATTTATTTTAATATTAAAAAACAATTTTTTTATTTGCCATTTTTAAGTATTTATATTAGGTATCAGGAAATTTAATTATTAAAATTTTATAACAACGAGTGCATTTAATGTATTTTTAAGAGATTGTACATACACATTCTTTTACATACGTGTGTGTGTGTGTGTATATATATATATATATATATATATATATATGTATGTATAATTTTCTCTCCATTATGTATTATGTTGTTAATTAATTTTAATTATTTTATTGTTAATTAACATGCACGAACATTGTAATTTATTTACATATACATTAAGCTTGCACATTAATTTAGATTATCATTTATACTCCTTTCTTTCTTTAATAAATGTTCCACATTTATGAACATATTTATACAATATTAAATTTTAATTATCTGAAAATATTAGAACCGAGATTTTATTTATTAAATATATTATATAAAATTATATTAATTTACTACTTTCTTAGACTGCTACATTATTATATATACATTACCCTTTTCTAATGTTGGCATTAATCAATGCTTTATAATTTTTATTAATATAATTGTCAGTTTCAGACCCTAAATACAAAACATTTTTATCTTTACACGTTTTAGTTCTTTACTTATATTGATAAATTATTTTGTAAATCTAAATGGAATTTTTTTGCTCAAGCAACTGATTGATTACAATCATTCAATTACTTACCAACTAATTGTTTAATAATCGACATTTTGAACTTGAAATATCTGTACGTAAAAGAAATCTGGCCGATAGGGTATTAGATAAAAATTTCACAAAGCTAATGATAAATAAGAATCCTATATATGTTTTCAATATATATATATATATATATATATGTATATATATATATATTATGCATATACAATGGTAATAATTTAAAATATTTTATTTCAAACTATTGAATACGATATACAAATTTTTAATTTGTTTTATTTTTTTTCTTACATTTCTATTCGTAAAAATTAAATAATTAATAGGTATTATAAATTAAAATTATTTTTTAATTTAATTGATATCCATACATGTTGATATATGTATTTTAGTTTTGTTTTGTAATCCCGTTTCACTCACTCTCTCTCTCTCTCTCTCTCTTCGATTTTAAAAATATTATACTATTATTTTATATATTATAAAATTTATACATTTTTCAAATTATTCTTAATTATTTTTTCGTCATAATTTTCTGTATTTGATTATCGTTAGTTTTATTAGCTTATTTATCAAATTCTTCAAAGCCATTTGAAAATAGTCCCTATCCTTTTTTTAATATATATCATATATTTTCACAGTATTTTGACTTTTATAATCAGTTATTTATAATTGTTTTCCAAGTCAATCAAATAAGTTTTCACAAATGAGAAAATAAAGTATATTATATAATATTCTAACATTGAAAAATGTATTCCGAAGATTTGTTTAATTTTTTTATACATTAAAAATACTCTTTTGAAATACAATAAACTATAATTTACCTATTATATCAAAATACTATCTTATTCCTATTTTAAAAATTTAATTATTTATTAACATCATAATTTGAAGAGTTTTTCTAAATGAAATATTTTACATTTTTGTATTATAATATTATACTTCTTAAATTTTCTAAAAACTTCACTTTCGCTAACCAACGGAATTAATAATTACTTAATACATAATTTTATTCCGTTACTCAACTTATAGAAAATAAACATCATTTGATGTTTAATCTTAACAAAAATTTATAATTTATTATTAATTCGTATGAATTTCAGCAGAAAATGTTAAAATCTTATTTAAAGCATTAATATTGAATATTATTTTGTGAAAAACGGTACAGTTTGAATATTTATATAGTATTAAGAAGCCTCGTAAATGTTTAAAATATTATTTTACTTTGCATTTATGATTTGTATATAATTGTTATTTTATTGTCATAGTTTGAAAAAGAGTATTTATGTGCTGTCAAAACTAACTTTATGTCCAAATAATAGTTAACAAAATCTTTATTCGATGCTGAATCCAAAAATATTATGTATACTGTTCAGGAATAGTAACAAATTCTATAACAATATGGGAAATTACCGAAGGCATTAATATTTCATAGAATAAAATATTGTTAGAGTGAAATTAACATCTATTTAAACAATAATGCATCGGTTACTTAATTTTTACCACCTTATACCTTAGCTCTGGATTATCGAAGATATATAATAAATTATTTTGGAATACGTACCATAATATGTGTGTGTGTGTGTGTGTGTGTGTGCGCGCGCGCGCGCGCGTGTGTTTATTATATGCATGCTGAATACATCATTATGAATAATAAATATTATTCTACCAATTATAATATTGCTGTCGTAAATACGTGCGCCAACATGTAAATGATCTTAAAGTTTAATAAATTAACTAATGTATTAATAGTTTATCTATTTGCATACTTTGCTTAGATGGTACGTCTTTACAATGATTAAATTGTTATAATTCATTTATTTATTTATGTATTTTTTCAATACAAGCTAATTGTATTAAGTCATTAAGCAGCATTAATTTTGACGGGACTATTTATAATGAATAGTTTGATTAAATTATTAATGACTTGTCTTAATGTATTGAAATGGAAATATTTATACTTTATCGTAGATAAATATTGTACAATTGAGTGAGGTATTTGTACATTATTTGGATTGATAGTTAAATTTAGCATGCATTTGGAATTATGCGTATGAAATATTTTTAAATAATCGAAATATAAAGAAAAAGCCATTGAGTCTAATTTCTGACGTTAAAAAATTTAATTGTT